CCCATACTCCCAGAGTGTGGGTGTGAATGCCAGAGCACTTAGGAATGCACACAAAGCCTTTGCAGACTATTAAGGATCGCACATCCTATCACTACCATATGCAAACTTATATAATTAAAAGATTATACTGACTACTAAGTACAATTTTCTATTGACACTGTAATCCCGGTTGAAGGCTCTGCCTCCCATACTGTTTTTAAATATACTAAGAACCACAAGTAAGCAAGCAATTTGAGAGGTAAGTGCTCTATTGGGGTGACATGGTTCTATGAGGTCTTTAAGATAATAAATAATTTCCCCTGGGGTTAAAAAATATTCTGATTCTGATGATAACATGGGGCCTAAATATTGAAGACCTTGAATTTGAGGATAGAGATTTTAAGTTTGTTTCAGGATTTATCAGGGAGCCAACACAGAAAACTCAATATAGGATAGATAAAAAGTCTGGTATTATCTACATAGCAGTGAAAATGTATGCCATTCCATCTAATATTACTGTGTCTACACATGACAAACAACTTCATAAAGAACCAGCTATTTTTAAACCAACAAGGTGATTTCCCAAAAGACTATTTAAAGTAACTCCCGGCATATTTTAGCATGGTGTGCAGTGTGTAATTACAAAATATCTAAAGCAGATGGAAAGTATCTGAAAGTAATATTGTCTGGCACATCAATTCAAGCCACTGCCAGAAGGTTTTAACAGTCCCATAAGTATGGAGGAAATTCCAGGAGACAGATCCTCTTGGACTCTAGGAGAACTGGACATTGCTATGTGGTCATTTACCCATCAGCACGACCAGTATCTGCTCCTTAGTGCAAGCTTGAACAGCATGGGCACTGCCAGAGCTACAAAATGCTTAAAAGGAGGACACTGGTATGAATTTCACTGACCAGATAATCAGAAACAGATTTTGAGTTCAGGTTGAGGGCCTGATGCCCTCTAGTGGGCCTATGCTCACTGCCCACTGCCATATTGAGCCTGATTAGAATTTGGAAGAATATCATAGTACCAGATTTAGCAGATCCACCAGTTTTACTTTGATTTTCAGGTGGTGTTTGAATTCAGCCCACAGTAGGTTCATCATTTTCTTTTCCATTAACCAATCCTTTAGTTCCCAACACATTACCCAGTCCACATGACTGTGGATGTCCAGCATGAATTTTCCACCTACTAAAATCTGACATGTTTTCAAAGTGTTGCTTTAACCTTTGAGCTGTGTACAATCACAGTTGGTTTTAGACCAGTGAAATCAGACTGAGGCAATAAAGGTAAGAAACAGTCAACACCATACATAAATAGACTGCAAAGAAATGAACATTTGCATAATTTATACAAGAAACTGTTAAGAAATCAGTTTCACCCCAGTTCTTTTTATTCCTTGGGCATCCAGAGACGGCACCGGAACTCAGTAGTCATTTCACAAAACCTTTATTCATCTTTATTCATCTTCATTTAAGCATGCATCTTCTAGAAGGGGAGATGTGCAAGGCCAGTGTCCCTCTGCAGATATTCCCTCCTTTGTCTGTTACAGTCAGCTTTATACCATTGACCCCATCATAAAACCCCCATGGTCTGCTGCAAACTCTGTGTGTCTGTGTGTGTATGCACGAGCACGTGAGTGCCTGTGTGTGCGCGTACCCATGTGTCTATGTGAGTGCATGTGAGTGACTGTGTGTGCGTACCTGTGTGTATGTGTGAGTGCACATGAGTGAGTGTGCATGTGGGTGTGTGTGTGTCTCTGTATACGTGACTTCCTGCCGGTCATAAAAGTAATCTCCTCACCAAAGCTACACCAGATTCCTTTAGACAACATACAAAACAGAGTTAACATATTACAAACACTGAGACTCCCACTCTGCATCCACTGGGCCATTGGCCTCTTGTTGTCTTACATTTACAGATCAGGTGGAGAGTCTCCTGCAAACCTGCTTCCAAGTTATGGCAATTATGAACTTTTATTAAAGGTACAAGCATCAGCATCAGCAATCCCCAACTGTAGCTTCCTGTCTCCTTTTATGACAGCAGACCCCCAGTGTCCATAAATTCCTTTCTCTCTAAACAATTACACACACTCGCAGGCCTACAGCTAAGCCAAACTAAAACACACAGACAAATCCTTTCCTATTCATCTGATCTACTGCTGGACCCTCTCATCTAAGCATATTTAACACATTACATTCTAATAATTATTTTCATGTATTCACAATATACGATACTCTCTAACTTTCTCTCCTACCAGAGCTGTTCCTCTGATGTACTAATTTCTGGTGAGTCCTGATGGCCACTCCTAAAATAGTTTTTGCAGAACTCTTTCTAACGTCAGTAAGGTTTTGACAAAAACAAAACAAAAACAAACAAAAAAAGAGCCAAAAATAACATTTTGATGACTCAGTCTTTAAATTGACTATTGATTTATTGACAATTGTGAAAAAGGTTTAGATTTTTTTTCTTTTTCTTTTTTGTACAGGTGAGTCTGTGGTATTAAAAATTGTCACGGTTCTGGGTCTTTCTGACCCAGCTTTTTGAGTTCTTGTGTTTTTATATTATGGTTTATGTTTTGAGTCCTTTGTTGTACTGTGTTTGTTATTTCCCTAGGTTTCAATTATGGTTATCATAGGTTTATTTCTTAGGT